TGCACAGCCACTGACATTTACTGATATAATGGACAATGTTTCATGCAAAGAAAAAGCTGACCACTACTCCTATTTGTTTTAAGCCGTTTTTACACCTGAAAGTCAGGACCATGGTCCAAACCAAGGTTCATGTCTTTATTACATCTGATCCAGTTTTGGTTTCACATTGCATTTCAGTGAGTGGACTAAAGAAGTTGGTATTACATTTTAACTTTTTAAATAAATGTCACTTTGTTAATCTCGTTCCCATTAAAAAATCATTACGGTATTACTACCAGCAAAATGAACATCCTTGCTGTTCAAACATTCAATCTTCAGAGTTGAGGACAGCAAACAGTCCGGATTTAAAGCACCTTTCACACCTTATTTTGGTTCACACTAAACTGAAAAGCCTGAAGGTCTCGACCAAACTCTGTCGATGGGAAAATGCCCTTATATATAATTTTTTTCTTAAATTCAGAATGGACAAAAGTGTTTTGTATAACAACCCTTGTTTTCAATGTTCAATGCTGTGTCTTGTCTAAATGGTTTTAGAGCAGTGCCAACAAGGAGGGCACCGAGGTGCTCGGTAACAACAAACTAAAGAAGCATGACAAAGTATGGTTGGAAATAAACCGGACTAAAGGTGAGGAAAAATCCAAGAAATAATAAAATGAAAAAGAGTGAAGCAGAGGGATTTTGTAAGAATCTAGATGCAAGATGATGTTCTTTAGCTCTCCACCTCACATGGCTTTTAGACAGTAAAGCTAATGTGTAATATATATATATATATCTCAAATGGCAGCTATTTCTTCAAAGGGATAATAATGGAGATATAAAATAATCCAGTGAATGTAAATAAGACACACAGTGGTACCATGATTCTGTCATGTCAGACTTAATTTCATTTGCTTCTTTTCTCTAAATTCTCCCTGCTCTACTCTTCTCTCTCCTTAAATCAATTAGTAAACTTTCACTTCCCTACTCCTGTCTCTGAGACATTAAGAGCATTGTCAAATTGTGGATGATCTTCTAAAAATCTTGGAACCCTCGANTGCATTTCCCAGGTGACAACATGTGGTTTTGGATCATTCTTGTGATTTTTTGTGGAGTCAATATAAATTCAGATTTGAAACCAGTGGGATTAGATGGGATCCAATAGGATTAGGAAACATATTTGTGTTCCATTCATTCCATATGTGATTTTAAAAGGTTTTCAGATGTAAAATTTATGTGCTGTAGAGGCAGAGAATATTTATGAACTAAATACTCTTACAAGTATAATAATGATTGTACACAGTGGTTGACTCCACTGTCCTTTTCAGATGCAAGCTTCAAATGCTATTCCATGTGCTTTGAAGCACATGGAATAAATTTTGAAATTAACAACCTGTCTTTCCTTTGCCTCCTTTGGGGGACTACAAAGAAGAACTGCAGGTGGTCCAAATGAACATGGAGTTACAGAAAGAAATAGTCAAAATGAAGGATGAGATGATCAAGCAGCTGCATTCTGACAAACTGCATCTGCAGCAGCAAGTGGAGGAACTCAGGAAGCTACAGGTGGAGAAGGAAAAGAAGAAAGATGACCAAACAACTGGTAAAATTACCTTTGATCCAGCAGGATCCACACTCTGTCTGTTTTTAATAGTAAAAAACTCTGTCAGATCAGAGGGAAACAATTACTTTTTATCAGCATGTGAGAACACCATTAAATAGAAAAGAAAGGAAATGTTGAATCAAAATTATGACTGAGACTAAGAAACAGGGTCATACATGGATTAGAGGTGCTGGGAACAAGGGTTCATCCATGCGCCAGAGCCTCCATGAAGTAACTTCTTGTCAGGGAGTTGATCAAATGGTCACAAAGAGAGGCTAAAAAACTACACAGAATTGCAGATTGAATACAAAGATAAAAAAGAATCACAAACAAAACAACAGAGACTGTTTGTAGTTGAATGAGATGCACAAAATGTGTTCACTTTAAATGCAGCATTTTGTGTATCTTTCTGTCTGGAGGCGTTACTTCTGTGTAGAACAGGCAGTTCGTATGGTCTCACTGTTCTCTGTTTGAAGGATGAAGCTGAGATTTTTTTTCTCTGTGAACTTGAACAAATTGAACAAATATGGTGAGTTTAATTTATGGCACGATAGATCCCTTCACTGTGTGTCGCACACCACCCCAAGCTAAATGCTTCATATTTAAGAGGTGTATCTTAGAAGAATGGAAAGAGTGGTAAATGACAGGGACTATTTTCAGCTGCGGACTAATACATTCTCACGTTCCAAAAATTGTTTTAGTAAACACTGCTGTAACTGATTCTAATGTAACTGTCAACTACTGTAGACAATGATGTGAAAGTTCTGTTTATTTGTATAGCACATTTCAACAACAAGGCAATTCAAAGTGCTTCACATTAAAAATAAAAGGCATCATGACAAATTGTAAAAGCAACATAAGACAATACATATAAGTAGCATTTTAAAAGAAACAATAGGTTAAAAAGTAGTTAAATACAGAATAAAAAAGAAAAGAATAAAAATAAGAACTAAAAAGGATAAGCATCCCATCAGCACCTAGCAACAAGCAGCAAGGTTGGCAGAATATATAAACACTTAAAATAAACCTGTAAAACCTTTTGGACTCTAGGTCCCAGCCCTGTTATGGTTTCAACTGACTCAATTAAAATATATTATAAACTTAAATCCCACCACACTTGTTCTAATTTCTAATATACTTTGAAAAGTATTGATTGTTTGCCACACAGCCAGCTCACCTACGATGCTCAATGGTTTATAAATACAGAGAAACTGTTTTTTTATTTTCCTTCTTTAATTTATTTTTTTTCTGCAGGAACAAGCTTTAGCAAACAAATTATCAACTGCCTTACTGAAGGAATCTGCTCATTATTCAATGTGCCTTCAGGAGATTTTAAAGAATGCTTAAAGACAGAATCAATACACACCACAAGTTGGCTGAATAATTGTCAATTATCCAATGAGGAGTAGATAAAAAAACAAACAATACTGCCTTAAGCAGTTGGTGAAAACACAAGAGCTTCAACCTTGAATGTTAATGAAGACTTTTAATTTGCAAATGTGTTTTTTTTACATTTGCATTAGTGGCATTATTTCCCACTTCAGGTCAGTTCATATTTACTTATGAAGAAAGGAAATGAAAGAAAAATAATTTTTCTAATGATATCCCCAATTAAAATCTGCATGAAATGACCAACTAAAATGCATACATTTATCATTAGGGAGGTATACTGCAGGGAACATATCTTCTACCATTCATTGTTATTACATTTCAATGCATAGAGAATTAATTAGAATAAAAACTGCATTGTTTGTGTTTCACTTTCATGATCCAATGAAAGAGGATGGACACTGCCCCCTGCCACCCATGGATGGATACCCACTCTGTAAGGAAAAATTGAAGGTAAAACTCTGCTTTTCCACGGTGATGACAAACTGCTATCTCACAGAAATAATCAGTGATAAAATAATGATAACAACAATAACTTTTGCATGTTGTCAAAACAAATCGATGTTTCTCAACATGAGGTGTAGCAGCAATCTCCCACTGTAGCTCATCAGGGATTTTTTTTATCCTGTTCTTGCTTCCATAGCTTGTTGTATTTTGACAGTTTGACCTGGTTGTGTTTTGCTCGTAACTACATTGATATTCTTGTGGCCCGTGTGGTTTGCTGTTGCTCCAGTGGATGAAGGAGGTGTGGAGGACTGATCCGTGTTACGGCAGTAATGGCGTGAACGGGTCCCTGTGCTCTTTCATCATTTACCTCAGCGAGGTACACAAGTGGTTTCAATTCCATGTAGTACTTGCTCAGTAACATTGCTACCTATTAAGTTTGTGTTTATGCTTTGGTCTAACTAGCTATCGCTTCTTCTTTATGTTGGGTTTCAGATTGAATCGTGGTGCCCTGTGCTTCCAGGTCGATCTGTCTCTTCAGCCCCAGCAGAAAAGTCAGAGGTAAAGACAAGGTCAAAGAATCCAAGACAGTATGTAATTTGTGTGTATATGTTGTTGTTTTTTTAATGCTTGTAGCTTTTCACTTTTTTTTTATCATTGTCTGTCATTTTCTATACAGGCTGACAAACCCACAACAAAGGCAGGACAATTGAACTTGTCACCACCACACCTATTGGTCGGGGAATTTTGACAGACTTGCTGCATAAAAGAATCCAAGCGCACAAGAGAAGCATAGAAAGAAAAATATAAGAGGAGACATTTCAAGTGTGCAAATATATGAAGAAGAAGCAAATACAAATATATAAATATACATCTGAGTGCAATTGCATAGCAGTTTGAGCACAAGCACCGCAAATCAAAGTAAAAGCAGGGGCTATTTGAGTGTATGCACAGGGTTTTGAGTGAGACCATATAAAAAGTGGAACACATTTTTAGTAGCCTGAATTAATACTACATATTCAAGCACTGTCAATGGCCTTCAAGGTACATTTGAGATATTATTTCGTCATACTGAATGCCCATTGGGCTGCTGAGTGGAAAATGGCTAAAATTCACACATATTTACAAATGGGTGCAGTAGCACTGACAATATGTAGTTCTGTTACCTATTTTAACTTATTCAGTTTAATAATACTTAATATTTCAAATTTATTTATCAGAACTTAAAAAAAAAATGTGAAAAAAAGCAAAAGAAAAGTTTGTGTTTTGTTGATTTTTTACCAGGCTGTGGTACGGAACAGTGTGGAGGGTCTGTACCCATCTCTGAAAAGCAGAGTCCAGTTCCGATGGATTCACCAAAGAATTCAAAGTATGGATGAGATTTGGGTCGAGGCCGGACGCTCTCTCTCAGCCAAATACAACCTCACAGAGCGCACAGCAAAACACGTAATGTATACCTCCCCATTGATTTGAACAACAACTCTTTGCTAAGCCCTGCTCTCCTTAGTCTGTGTTGCTATGGCACATTTTCCATTCTTCCATTCCAGACATGCAGTTTCCATAATAATGGTGGCAGATTTTCCACTTTAAATTCATGGCATTTTTTCATTAGGGTTTTCAGTTTGATACAGAAGAAAACAAAAGACTAAAAACCTGCTCTTCATCACCAGGGTCTGACAAACAACTAAACAGTAGGGATTACATACAGGCTGTTGATGACACTCAACAGCTGGGGCCTAGTGCATAGCCCTATAGACATTAATAAATGGAGAATGATGATAACTTTATTCTGACAAATGAGTAGCATGTACTCAAGGACCACTTTCTCTCCCCAGATTTTGGTACATCCTGGTGCACTGACAGACGAATCAAGCTTTAGAATAGCAGAAAGCGCCTTCAGTGGTGGCCCCCTTGGGGAACTAGTCCAGTGGAGTGACCTTATAGCCACACTTCACATCCTTGGTCACCATCTTCACCTTTCTGCCTCTATACCTGATCTCAAGAAGTGAGTACTTCTGCACAAAAGAAGAGCCTTTTGTTGCGGCTGTCCATCAGGATGGGGTTGTACAAGTAAATGAGACAAAATTTGATTTAAACAAGAGGTTATGAATGGAAAAAATAGCATTGTAGTAATTTTAAAGTTGTAATATACAGATGCTCATTCATTTTCCATTGATTGTTTCTGTTTCTGTGTATTCATTCCACGTTTGTTTCACTGCTTCTTTAGTTTTCTCGGCATTAATACAGGTGGTTGCCACTCTCGTCAGTCAAAGATAACAGCAGAACTGATCTACACGGACATCATTGGCCTCAAACAGTTTCAGAATGTACTTCAGAAATCCTGGATCAAATACAAGTGAGTATCATTATCTTGTTCCTGACATCAGTCTGATGTGCTTGTGAATAATGTGAAATTTTAGACTATGTGTGCCATCTCTTAAAGGTTCAGTGTGTAGAATTTAGAGACATCTAGTGGTTAAGTGTCATGTTGCAGCTAAATACCCCTCATCTCACCCTCCCCTTCCAAACATGAGAGATAACCTGTGGTAGCCTTATAAGGGGCCCATTATATGGTAAAGAAAATGACCATTTGTACAATTTAGATGAAACACACCAGTGAAAAAGTCATTAGGATTATTTTATATTCAATTTCTAGCAATAGATCCTTTAACCTAAATCTTAAACACTGAACCTTTAGTGTACAGATGGGTGAAAAATTTAAGGAAAACCCAACAAAAAGGGTTTTAGTAAGATATTGGGTCCAGTGTTGGTGCCAGATATTTTTTTTTACTGGTGCTATGTGGGTTGCTCAACTTTTCAGTAAGGGTGCTCTGAAATGTTGGGTTTGCCATTAATGTACCTATTGCTTTATGGTTTTGGCTGCTTTTGTAAGTTATTTACCAGAATTATACAATAACTACTAGACTGATTATCAAAAACCCAATAGATTTTAATGTGGATCTGGATGAGGGGGCAGATCCAAGAATTTCCTTTAACATTTAATGAGAATTAAACTACAATTATCTAGATTTTGTAATGTATTTGGGGGGGGGGGGGATCTTTATTCAGTTTCTGTACAATCGCAAATATTCATAGTATATCAGAGAATGGACATTTTGCCTATGTTTAATAGGCAAAATGTTTAAATGAAAAAGTTTGCAGAAAAATTTCAGTGTACATTAAATATGGATCTGATGCAATATATTAACAATATGGTGATAAAGTAGCCTGTCAGGGAGTTTTGTGTTCTCAGAGTGCCTCTCCATTTGCAACACCTCTGACACACTTATACACAAGTGCTCGTACATAAATAATACCCTTTCCATCCCAGTTACATTGCACTCTGATAAACACAAAGTGAGATATGGGATATAGATGAAAGGTTGATAAGCCTGCCTACCTAGACACACATCTGAGTACAGAGCTGCAAACAAACAGCAGCAAACAACACACATTACATGTCATTTAGCTGACACTTTTTTATCCAAATCGACTTTCAATTAGTGCTTTCATCTATGAGGGGCCATTTGGGGGTTCAGTATCTTCCCCAAGGACACTTCATCGTGCAGATGGGGACGACTGAGTATCGAATCGCCAACCTTCTGATTGGACGACCGCTCTGGCCCTCAGCCACAGCCAATGACACTTACCATGATGACATGACAAAACGTAATGATTTTGTTTAAATTTCTCAACTTGCTCCCACAAATGGCTGAGTGCGGTTTGTATGAAGAACTGGTCGACTGCTTATATCTTTTACAGCAATGTTAGCATGGTCAGTTCCTTCTCATCTCCCTCCTTAAATCTTTCAAGTTCTCTCATTCCCAACATGGATGTTGAGGGTGTAAAAAATTATCCATTACAATACACTTTGCAAATGCTAAGTCAGGAGAAAATTGCCCTCTGGCTAACAGTGATAGTATGGTCAAAAATTAAATGTGGGTGCTGCAGCCATTGGTTGAATCAGATCACTTGTGTTTTATCACTTTATATTTTTTAGTATAAAAGTAATTGTTTTCTTTATTCATGTATTTATTAATTGTTCTAATGATAATTTATAGTCTTCACACTATGAAAATGATTAACAAATGACAGAATTTTCTTGGCCCCCTGGGTTGTCAGCATTGATTCTACACTCTGTAGGCTACTGGAGGAATGAGCATCATTCTTTCATAATACAGGAGGGTGCATCCTACACTGTAGCCTGATGAACACTCTCCTGGAAAAACTTATAATTTGTAGTGAGGCACACTGTAACGATTATGATATTCTTGTCCATGTCTCTCAGTGGCCAAAAGGCAACAAGGAAACCACATCATACCTTTAAAAGGAGAACATCGAACATACTTCACTGCATCCTGAGTTTGGTTTAGAACAATTTTCAGTTGAAGAGAAAATTGTGCAGATTAGATTTGGTTAGCGGTACATTATAGACTTGCATACTGCTTGATTTAATTTGGATTCTTCAGTGCTGGCAGTCAACCTTCAATCAAATGACTGTATGTGCATGTAATCTTAAGTCTCATGTATGAACATTTATGTAAATTGTATGGAATGAATTGTGGGTGGAAACAGCATGCGGCTGCACCTCAACACTCATACTTTGATGTATAAATGCATGTTTCTCTGAGTGTTAACATCTTCAAGAACATTCCACCACCTTATGCCAATATTGACTTGTACTTCCTTATTGGATCTTACCATGTAAATCAAATCATACTATTTTCATTTATGTGTATTTTGGGTCACTTTTATTGTATTTTTACTGCTGTCAGATGTTAAACTGGTCAAATTTGACCCAAACTGTATATAAGGTTTAAGATGAATGAATAGGTAAAAGCCAGGTTCATTTCTGGGTTTAGTTTGGAAGAACATGACCGATCTGATCATATCCACCACTTCTGTGATGAATTGAAAACTTGACTGTGAGTCAGAACATTATGACTGAACACAACTGATGCTCTCATGGTCATGGAGTGGGAGCAAATCCCAGCAGTAGGTTTGCAAAACACTGTGTAAAAGCCTCTGATTGCAGCATATGAATGTGAATGCTTTTGGAATGATATGTTCAACAATGCTGAGGGTCAATTCACCCACACCACTGGCCATTTTTTATTTCATTGTAGCAGATGTGTTAATTACAGCATTTATTGCTGTAAGTGTATTTTTAAATGTGATGTGTTTGTGTGTCGACCAGATGTATGATTCGTGTGTTGGATAGTTTTGGCACTGAACCAGACTTCAATCATGCAGTTTGGGCCCAGAAGCACAACTTTACCGGCCCATTTGTTGGCTTGAGCCTGACACCAGCGCAGTTCTACACCATGTTCCGTACGTCTTTCTTTTACATCAGCTTATTTTATGTTTTATATCACAGACTGTGAATAAAGATGGATGATGGATACTAATGCTGCTATCTTGCGCATTTGGGGCCAGAATCTGCACAGTAGCAATTGTGGGAGGGAGCTGCAGTAGCAAGGTCCCATTGATACATGTGCTCGACCAATCATGACTCACGGGGTTTGTGAACAATGCTTCAACAGCCACTAGGTGGCGATCAAGATGCTTTTGTCCATCTTTATATACAGTCTATAATTGATGCATGTTGCTCGATCTGAGATTATTTAATTATTCTAAAATATTATTTTTTTTATTATGCTAATAAGAATAATTATTATCGTACGCAGCTCATACACCAGACAACACCTTCCTGGGCTTTGTGGTGCAGCACCAGATGAGCTCTGAAATCACTGAGCAGCTGCGGTCGACTAAGAGAAGAAACCAGGCTCTTGTGTATGGAAAGAGAGGCCTCTTCTGGCAGGTAACAACAAGGAGGCATTGTAGTCCCCTAAAAAAACAATTTGTCATACTTAAATGATCCTATTAAACATTTATACCTTCAGGCATCAAAAAAATATGGAAGTATGCAAAAAGGTGAAGGCCCTCTTTTATTTATTTTTTTAGTTCCTGTTTCATTCCTTTAAAATACTTTTGTCTTGGTTGTGAATACAGTCTATGGTTATTTGAGTTATTATTTGTTCAGAAATCAGACACCACCATTAAATATACACGCTCGACAAGGCAGAGGTGTTATTTGTGTGATGTCCACTGATTCTTTTTCTTTTCCAGTGATTCACTCTTTGCCTCCTCTGCTGTCCCACCGCAGGGAAAAGAGGCTTATCTGGACATTATCCACAAGTACTTGAAGATCCACGGGACGGTCGAAAGCAGCTTTAATATCCCAAGCTATGTGGAAAACCACGGCATCGTCAAGGGGACTGAGGTGCAGACGCTGCTGAGACAGAGCAAGGTAAGCAGAGAGAGGTAAAAGGGATTGATTAACCATTTCACAGTCAAGTCACGTGTTCCACATATCTCTCTTAAATGTACCCGTGTCTATTGTTGACTCAAGCCCCACTTTCTCATTGTAAATCATGTTTCTTTCTCTTGTCCCTATATAAATCCACTATGTTAAAAAGCACTGCCTTTCTCTCTGCCACAACCTGGGCTTTCACATTAAATGTAGGCGACAAAGTAAAGACATGACCACAAAGCATGAACTCCATTCAGACACTGGGTGTGTGCCATGTCAGTTGTTTAACATCCTTCTGAAACTAAGTGATCTTTTCTCTGAGATAACCATTACCAGGGATTTACACTGTCAAAGAACCAGAGAAGTGACAATTTGTAAGGTGGCTCTCTTTCCTCTTTTCCTTTCCTGACATGACACACAGATTTTATACAGTTTATTTAGTTGTGTATACTAAGTTTGTAGTCAGTAAGTATTCCATTACAGTAGCTGCTTGTATTACAAGGAAGGATGGGGCACAGGCTTTAAAAGTAAAAGTAAAGTAAAGTAAAATCAAGTGTTAGCAGTCGTTGGCTTTAAATTCTCACCTCACAATCCTGCAAACAGTTTTCTAAGATATGAGTCTAGTAGTGTCCTCTGTGTATGAGGTATGAGGTTTAATCCCAGACTGACTCCAGTATAGTTAGATCAGGGATCTGTGGGGGAAATCTATTTGCTAATACTTGTTCATTTTGTCATTGTTCAAAAGTTCTTTGAAACTCTGGCTGTATGTTTAAGGTTTTAGCTGTTGCTGTGGAATGACTTGGGGACCAGCATCTGCATGAAGATTGAGGATCTGATAATCTTATGTGCCACAGGATCTTTGCTTTGAAGGATTAAATAGTTATTTGCACTGCTCAACAATATAACATATTCTGTTTATGCATCAGCTTACACTAAGCAGCATTACATGTAACTTCATATGTCCACATTGTGGAATAACTAGAAAAAAATGCTGTTATTCATCATGTCATGTTTGGAATTACTGGTATCTGACTTGGATTGAAAATAATAAAAATGAATTTGTTGGGTCAGGTTTAAACCCTGACAATCCTTCCTGTGTATAAAAGCAGGGAACTGTAGGAGCAGTTATTTCTTGTGCTGGTGTTGGCTGGCACCATGTGGTGACAATAAACAAGTGCAGGAGCTTGTCGTGTACATACTATAAATGACATAGATGTTGTAAACATGTATTTATCTTTATTTTTAGTTCAAAGCTGTTATTTATCTGTGGTCTGTAGGTTTTTGTGGGGCTGTCTTTCCCATATGAAGGCCCCGCTCCTCTGGAAGCCTTAGCCAATGGCTGTGCCTTCCTTAACCCGAGGTTACACCCCCCGCTGAGCAGCTTGAACTCAGAGTTCTTCAAGGGAAAGCCCAACACCAGAGAGGTCAGTGTTCATGTTCCAAGCTGAGACACTTCCTATGACATTGTTTACAGATATTAAAGCATTTTACCTTTGTGGAGTCAGAAATCATTTTTTAATCTCAGTCAAATGCGAAACAATGAATCAAATCATTTTCCAGGAAGTTGTTTTCTGACAGTTGATCTGTTTGTGTTGTAGGTGACGTCGCAGAATCCTTATGTTGAAGCCATAGGAGAGCCATATGTATGGACGGTGGACATGTTCAATCAAACAGAAGTAGAGAAAGCACTCACTGCTATCCTCAATCAAAGTGTGAGTATCATTTAAACTTGGTGCCACATCCACTTATTTCTCAAACAGCAAAATGAAATCACAGGCTCCGCTTGATGAAAACTACTTTTCAGATTGAGCCCTACCTTCCCTATGAGTTTACGTGTGAAGGAATGCTCCAGAGGCTCAACATCCTGATTGAAAAACAGGTTGGAGCTGTCTGTGTGATTGCAAAAAAAAAAATGATAGAGAGGACATAGATTAATGATTAGAAAATGAATAATAGATATATATGTATATGTTTTGCTTCAGGACTTCTGCTCCAGTACACAGAGGTGGCCCCCACTGAGCGTGCTCCAGGTTGTGAAGGCGGAGCCAGACATTTCTTGTAAACAGGCGTGTCAGGGGGTGGGGCTGATCTGTGAACCTGCATTCTTCCCACAGCTCAACAGTGTAAAACATCTTGCAGAGTAAGTTTACACACACACACACACACACACACACACACACACACAGATTTCTATGTTACCAATGAAAAGCTTTGAGGAATGACAATAAATTGGATATAGCAAAACTGACAATATAATAAGTAAAAAACAACCTTTTTAAAGTTTTTTATGCAGAATTCCCCCAGTATTTATACACATTATTCAGTAGCAAATAATATAGCTTGTTCTTTTTGCCACACATTTTGAAATTTGTTTAATTTCATTGTGATGTGCCCAGGATATATAAAGATATATATGCTTTCAAGTCAAAAGTTACTGTCACACAAGTTTTCATTGTCTTTCACTGCCTTTTCAATCCTGATGTGAACTTTTGCAAATGTATAAAATAAATTCCAGGTACATTTGAAATTGAAAAAGAGAACAGAGTAACTAAGAGAACATAAAACAAGACAAACAATCAAGTGCGTTAGACCCTTTCCATTTCAATTATAATCTCAGTCTTTATAACTTCATTGCTATCTGCTGATAACTGCTTCTTTTTGTTTTTATAGACATGGTGTAGATTGTCAAACATCAGAAGTTTCCGACAGTAACCTGGTGTTCCCTGCCTACAACAGTAGCAAACACTGTCTGTTCCAGTCTGATCCCCTGTTCTTCAGCTGTGTGAGATCTGACCAGTTCCTGATTCGCATCTGCCCCTGTAGAGACTACATTAAAGACCAGATAGCCTTGTGCAAGGCGTGTCTCTAACTGCTGACTCTCACATTTACGTTCACATATACACCGCCACTGGAGAAAGTCTGCAGGCTCTCCGAAGTTCAGTGTATTTTCTGACTCTGACACTGCGCATGCTCAGCCCCCACCAGGAAGTCACAGGACATCATCATTGCATTCATATATTTTTGTCGTACTCTCCTGAACTTTGTCATGTGCATAATTACAATCTTCTGTCATGGCTGACAGTGTGCTAAGGAAGTTACACCCATCTAAACACTATTTTAAAGGTACAGTGTGTAGTATTTAGTGACATCTAGTGTTGAAATTGCATGTTGCAGCTGAACACCGCTCATCTCACCATCCCCTTCCAAAAACAAGAAACTGTGGTAGCTTCAGTTTTCATGAAAACGCAAAAGGTGTTTAGTTTGTCCAGTCTGGACTAATGTAAAAAACATGGCAGCCTCCGTAGAGAGGGTCCCCTCGATGTAAATATAAAGTATTTAAATATAAAGGGCTTTTTCAAGGGTAAAGAAAACTATAATTCAACAATTTAGATGAAGTGAAAACATTGTGAGGATTATTCTACATTCAGTTTTTTGCACACATTACAGTTAAGTGGTAGTGCTGAGGCTTTAGATTTTTGGCCTGCCCAAATTGAGAGACTTTCTAAGTGGGCTAAAAAACTTTAAATGACCATGTTCAGCTGAACTCATATCCATAGCCTTTAGCCACACTTTCATTCTTCCTCAGGACTTGATTTACCAACTGATGGAAGTGAGCACGTGTTTGTGAAGCTCTGATTCAGACATTTGAATTCAACCACCGCCTGTCTGAAAATGATGGGAGCTGTCGGGGGTGTTTCACAGTCTCATGTGAGCCCTAGAATGAGTGAGGAGATCATAGAGGGGATGGATTCACATTTTCCACTCATCTCCCTGAGGTGGATTTAATTTATTTAATGAACAGTCCCACCAGAGCAGCATGAGTGCAGCCCTGAGATGAGGATGAAAAGTGTGAAAGGGAATCAGAGCAGATCACAGAACATCTTGGAGTAAGGTTGGAGTTGATTAACAATCAGGTTCTTCAAAATAATGTGTCCGATATGTGACTGTGTAGCAAACTTATTCAAACAGGTATTTTGTATAGTTGTGTGAAGGATGTTGTGTATGAGACAGATGCTCAGTTTGTTCAGGGTCATTACGTACCGTTCGAAGGTTTCACACCAGTGCTGAATTTCAATGAATTTTGAAGAACATTATGTTTTACTTAAATACTGAATTTTTATTATGAAAACAAAGTTTCTGTGCATTTAAAGTGTCTTGTATTGTGACTACTTCACTCAAATAAACATGTTTACCCACGTACCAGTACACTACTGTTTATTGCTGCTGCTGACTATAGAGGTATAGGATTTCCATGACTACGAATTTCTCATTTACACAAGTGCTGCTTTGTATTGTTTGATTGTTATGATCTATTTTAATAATGGATGAACAGCGAGTCAGACAAAAAGATAAATGCCAAAATGTATATTTCAAATATTATGTCAAGGTAAAAAGTAAATCTACTGCTGATATTGTTAACTCGTAGACAGAGGCGTGGTTGAGGCAGAGGCCTGCTCCCACTCTCTGTGCTAACCTATGCTAATATAACCTGTTGTTGGTGGTAGCTTTAACTTCAGTGGAATCAATCTTCCCATATAACTTTGTGAATCAGCATTATTCTTAAATGTTTTCCAACTTCTTCACAGAGAGCAAAACCATCAAGAGCACATTTACATTTCATGACATCAGATCATTTTCTTTAAGATTGCGAGATCTGGCTTCTTTCAACATTTTCATTGATTTCTCAGGGAATTATTTATGGATCTTAATGTGAACCATCAGGCATGTTTAGGAGACTGACATTTATGAGTTTGTGCAATTTGGTACAGATCCAAATAAAAATCTGGATCTAGTGAATTTAAATGTCCGGGACAAAAGTATGTGATACCTGAAATACCATTTAATAGTGTGCATACAAGATATATATTATATTATAATTCATTTTTTTAAACTATATTGGACTATTCCTCATCAACACGACAGATAATTAACTCCATGTCTTCTGAGCTATAGTGATGGGATTGATGCTCAATGTGCTTGTTCTCATTGCTGATTGCTACATGTCACCCAGTTATATAATATACATCCCCATTTCCCCTTGAAGGTTGACCTTCCATGACAAACACACCATGTCTCAACAGCATTGATGAATAAGCAGGATAAAACTTTATTAATCAATAAAACTTTGCTGTTTGTCAAAGAAAAATCATTCATTTACATAAATAAATGGTGTTTACATCATCTGTAATACAACTGATATCATTACATTGATATACATCCCCATTTCCCTTTGGAGGTTGACCTTCCATTACAAACACACCATGTCTCAACAGAATTGATAAATACGCAGGATAAAACTTTATTAATCAATAAAACTTTGCTATTTGTCAAAGAAAAATCATTCATTTACATAAATAAATGGCGTTTACATCATCTGTAATACCACTGATATCATTACTGTACAAACAGATAAATAATGACTCTGTTACATAGTCAGAATTATTATCACTTCAGTTACATATATGTGTGTTGAATGTGTGCGTGTGTGGCTGCAATGCTTTCGTAGCCACTATAGCGGTAAGGGATTGTAAAAGCCCATGCAAAGCCTATAGTAACAGAGAAGTGGTTTTAGTATTGCTATCATAATTGATTTCATTAAATGAAGTGAAATGATTGATTTGATGTTGATGCCTTTTCTGGAGCAATAATGATAATCAGTTCATTCATCGATACAGTTATAATTTACACAGACGTCAGCAGAGCGGACGTATGGTTTCAGGGATTTGGCACAGGTCATAAAGCTGCAGAATCTGTTTCTGAGCTATTTCAACAAAATGATACAATTTCATATTTTGTACCACTCGTCGAATAATGATTTGAGGTTCAAGGATTGTGCAAACGAGAAATAAATGCTCAGTTGTCATTTTTCACAGATATACAACAGTCTTAGTGAGCTGGAGTGAGGGTTGACACATTTCAGGGGACAGGGGAAAAAAACATCTGTTTAATGAATGAAATACAAATGCAACTGTTGTGATTATGAGATAACAGATAGATTTGACTCCTTTTTTCAGCTATTGTACTTTTCCAGTGATTTACAATGAGCACAGCAGCTTCCAAGACGACTGAGGAGACTAATGTTTCTGTAGCATTTATCTTAACAAGAGAAGCGGCCTGAAAATAAAGCAAAGTGCCAAGAAGAGAGGTAGAAAGGATTGTGTTACCGAGATCGAAAGTCTCCACTTTATCCAAACGTAACAGTTTACCATATGAATGATAGAGCCAGTAAAGCATACTGACACTGTGTTAGGATGAGTTTGTTCTGTGCCGTATGTGGTCGTGTCAGCATGTAAACACTGTGCTTTGCTTGTAGAAGTCATGGTAAAGATTGTCGTCTATGCATCGAAGAGAGGGGGGGGAATATTACCAATCAGTGTGCTGTTGGTGAGTTTAAGTGGTGTGAGCTTCACACCTTCAGTTTCTGGCTTATGCGTATATACTTCAAACAATGCAACTAAAGATAACACCAAGAATTATGCACCTTGCCCAGTGTGTCAACTCACAATTAATAATTACAGTGTAGAGTGGATGTAGGCCCATTCGGAGTTGCTGTCCAAGACCTTGTAGCTGTCATCAGCCTGGGATCAATTTAAACTCTCTCCATCCAGTGCACTGAATACTAATGAGCTCTTTTGCCGTGTGGTTTATGACCACAGGGGGGCGCACAAGCATTATTAATTCACATTTACAGGAACAAACTAGGCCTCAAACTGTTTACCTTCACTTAGTGAAATTAAAATGAGGAGACATGA